CCCCAAAACCCCAAAACCCCAAAACCCCATGAATTTGCATTGCTCAATAATTTTGACTTGGTCTAATGATTTAATTCATAATGTACTATTCTTATATTTTTACTCAGGTTGACTCAAAATACTATTCCCATAGATTGAGCGACCATTATTAGATAAGCCATACTAAGAGGGAATATACGGAAGTTTACTAAGTATTTTCTCTTGCACATCATATTTATGCAGAAGTATTTCTGGAAAGTAATGTTTTTCTTGTTTGTTTCTATTGTAGAAATCCAATCTTTCCTATCTTCGGCGTTCAGCCTCTTGCTTATACTTCTCATCAAATATCTTAAGCAATTACTTTTCTTGCTAAATCTTACTAAATAATATCTCCTGATCGTCATTAAACAAAGACTGAAAAATGTTGGTTGGTTGAGATTTTATTGATCTATCAAAGAGACGTTCTGTCTCATAAGGATCTTAAGGTTAGACTACTGGAAGTTTACCTGGCCTGAATGGATAGGATCTTATCATAGTCATTCGAGGGAAGATATCTTTAGCTTAGTCCAAATATGATTTGTGACGGTCAATATCGTCAAATTCAGGTTTAGGCAGTCTACTCTAGATATGAAGGACATTATAGGGGGCAAGTAAAGGTTCTATGTCAGAGGGTTTAAAATTGTTTTCTTTTAGATTTAATCCAAATTATTTCTCTGGAAGAATTTGCTCTGAGGCCATTCCAAGCTTAATCATCATTGAGTAAACAAATGGTAATGCTAAAACTTAATCACAAGATGGTCTTTGATTAGGAGTGACTGACAATAAACTTCTAATCAGTTGGGCTAATTAGGGTGAAAATAGGTTTTCATCTAAATTTTAATAAGCACCTCTGCATACCAGTTTATAGAGTCCTTCGATCTCATCAGACTTAAAAGGTACCTTAAGCATAGCTATTTCATATATAATTATTCCAATAGACCACATATCAGATTTTAAATCGTATGGCTTGTCTCTCCAGATCTCTGGACTTGCATAATAAGGAGTACCTGTTTAAGTGTAGGACATTTATTACCTCATAATTTTTGAAACATTCAGATCTCCAACTTTTACTTAGCCAGAACTAGTGATAAAAATATTTGCAGATTTCAGATCTCTGTGAAGTATACTGTGATCATGAAGAGCTTTGAGACCCCTTATCAACTAGATAGCGTAACTCCACACCTCATCTTCCAAGTTAATGTAAAATAAATAGAGTTAAACGTCATATTCTCAGAAATATTAATACTTATTACCTCTAATTATTGCAAAAAATGAAAAACTTTCTTTCTCGAAAGATAATTAGATTTCAAATTGCTTTGTTAGTAATCACATGCATCTTGTATTTTCTTCAAGACCCGACTATTGAGGAGGAGGCGTTTATGGATATGTATCAACTCTCTGAAAAATATGGATACAAGATATAAAATCATTAAGTCATTACTGAGGATGGCTACATCTTAGCTCTATATAGAATGACCTAGCAAAATGACACACCAGTTAGACTAGAAAATGGCAAAATTCAATCTGTTCTAATCATTCATGGAAATATGGAGCCTCCAAAAGCATTTATGCATAATGGCCACAAATCACCAGCCTTTATATTAGCAAGGGAAGGATTTGACGTATGGTTTGGAAAGAATCGAGGTAATGGTGAGAGTAGAAAGCATCAATGGTTAGATCCTGAGAATGATAAAGAAAAATTTTGGGATTTTAGTATACAGGAGTTGGGAGAGCATGATGTTCCAGCTTTTATCAAATATATTGTAACTAAAAATGAGGGGTCTAAAGTATCTTATATTGGTTACTCCTAAGGAGTAGGTCAATTCTATTATGCCATGTCAGGAGGTTGTACTGGCAATGAAACAATGAGAGAATTTTATCGGGAAAATATCAATGCATTTATCAGTCTTGGGACGACTGTTAAGTTTTTTAATGCAGATAGCTTTATCATGGTTTATAGTAGTATTTTCTTACCACTCTTATAGTTCTTGTCTAACACTTTTGGTATATATGAATTAAAATAGGCTCGTAGTGATTTCATGGTAAGAAATGTATGCATGAAATTTCCTTGGATTTGCTTGATACCGAATTACTTATTGACAGATTCTTCTTTAGAAATAAATGATTATAATGCAGTAAGAAGAGAATCAGCAAAGCCACATGGAGAAACTGGTATAAGAACGCTTCTCCATCCAGCATAATTGTCATAAGTTGATAAGTGGCAGTGTTATGATTTTGGACTTGAACGAAACAGACTTTAATATGGGCAAGATCACCCTCCTGAGATACCTATCCATACAATCAAAGATATACCTATTGCTATTTATCATGGAATATATGATAGGCTAACGCATATTAAGGATGTGGATTGGCTTAGAGAGTAGCTCAATCATACTATCGCTTTTTATGGGGAGTATGAATTAGGTCATACTACTTTTAAGACTGCTAAGAATATGTCTTATTTTGAAGTTGATGTTGTCAATGTATTAAAAGCCTATGCTAAAAAATGATGATTATTTATCGATTAATGATTCAATTATATTTTGTAAATTTTAAAATAATAACTTCAAAATCTCTAACCTGCTCCGCCCTGCTTTCTACTGTTTGTTCTGAGACCTCCAGCAGATGGAGGAAGATTGGTATTTTTAACATAACCTTAGTACTCCCCAGATGAACCAATGTTCCCTGCAGGCCCAAAGTTATCTCCTCCATTTTTAGGGGCTTGATACCAGAAGTCATCCTCGTTTGCATCATCATGTAATGTAGCTGCTACTTATACGTTACCTCCGAACTGATTCAGAGACTTTAGTTTAGCTGCAGAACCTATTTATGTTGACCCCTCATAGGCAAAGGGATGACCTTGCAAACCTGGTGGACCCTTTGCAGCATTTTATTATGGAACTCTTCCGTTATTATTTCCCATACCTTATGATGGACCGACATCGTAAGAGTTGTCTTGACCACTATTCTTCAGGAATTTTTACCTTTCTCTTTCAGTAATCAGTCCATTAGGACCAAGTAACTTATTCAAGACTATTCTAGATTCTTCCATTTTAGTAATAAGACCATAAGCTTCATCAAGGTCTGCATTTTGTTTATCAATAGTCTTTTGCCTTTAATCACTTAGATTTTGGAGATAATCTCTTTCCTCCTTAGTTGCTGTCAGCTCCTCTTCTAAATTTTCAATCACCTTTTATTGCTCTGCGGAAATCTTCTCACTCTGTCTATATTGCTCTCTTAACTGCATGTGTATTCTATCAATCTCTTCAAACATTGAATTTCTTTCTTTCATAACACTTTCAGCTTCTTCTAACTTTTGTTCAGCTAAAAGCTTTTCTTTCAGAGCTTATTACAATGTGATTTCAAGTTCATCATGGACTTTATCCTTCAGAGTCTTTTTCTCCTTTTCCACTAGAATACGTAACTCATTATTCTTGGCCTTTAGTTTCTTGCTAATGACCTTTCTATTCTGTCTTTCATGTGTAATTACTTCCTCAGCTGCTAGAATTGCTTATTCAGCTTGCTCTAGACGCTCCATTAAGTGATCAATAAGTTCATCCTTGTCCTTGGGAGGTTACCTTTCCTATAATTTCCTTAATTTTTCTTTTAAAGCTTTCAGGTCCTAGTCATCCTCTTTCTCTCTTTTTTGCATTTCCTCCTCAGTCTCAGGGATTTTTTCATCTTCATCAGCTTCCTTGCCTTATTTGTTCAGTTTATCTTTGTTCTTATTTTTATCCTAATCTTTGCCGTCTAATTGCTATTTTGAGGGAGATTAATTCATTTTCTAGATCAATAATGTATTATATGCAAGTTATTATTATTATCTTAAAATTTCAATAATTATACTCTTAAGGGGTTTTGGGGTTTTGGGGTTTTGGGG